CACATCCAGCATAGTTGCGAGGGTATGATTATAACGAAGTACCTGGCATATAGGAGGCACGATACATTGTGCAGGTTCTACCATCAAGCACAGAGTTTGTGCCTAAAGCAGGTAGTGGCGAACCATATTCTGAATCGAGCCGCTCGTTTCCAGCCAGAACCATACTCAGCTGAGGCACAGCAGAGCCTACATTCATGCCCGGGTTCCTCCTTCAGCCGGAAGTGCCTCTTGCCTTCGCATCCCCAGCCGCTACGCGCACAGTGACTCCCCAGGAATCTCTCCTGAGGGGCTCGGCACTGCCGCCAGCAGATCCAGGATCACGGGGGCCAGGCCAGCTGGAGTCTCTTCCTTACTATACCAAGGACCCACCGGGCCACTTCCTTGGGCTGCTTCCTCATTTATCAAAAAAGGGATATGGAGAGTGAATAGTAACCAAAGCAACTGGGAAAGTCTGAGAGACTATTTCACCAATCCTCTGAGCAGGCTCCAAACCTCCTCAGTGGAAAGCACTCCGGACCTGAGAGGCAGGGGTCAGAGCCACGTCCTGTGATGGCCAGAGGGGAGGGAGGGGCGCCAGGAGAGAGGGGGTGTTCTCCCCTGAATGTTCCCAGCTCACCAGCCTCCCGCTGCGCTGCGTGGATACACTGAGACCTGACGGGTGCACAGAGGGGAACGTCTCCGCTCCACGGTCCAAGTTGATGTGTGCACAGGAGCTATTTAAAGGCCTCTTCACCACCAACTATCTGGGACGCACCTAACTCTTACACAGAGATAAGCACTGCTGGGGGCAGGTGTTGGGAGTTCTCTGCGAGCGAAAGGTCCATTTGTGGGAACAGAGTGTCTTTCCTCAGGGCTTCTCAGCATTTATTTACCTCTAACAGTAAATCTTCCCAAACAGCCTTGCAAGTAATGTCTGAGCTCTCAACCAAAGGCAGTAATGGACCATCACAGGAGGGCTTTCCTCTCTGGGGCGCTAGTACGGAAGATTCCTGTTCACACTCCAATACCTGGAGGCTGCGGGGGAGCCACATTAGTCAAAGAATCATTACTGCATTGGGCAATGCATTTCTGCAAGCTGTAACACTGTGTGAACATCTCCAGGCAGTCCAGGAGAATCTAGCACTTGCGAGGAGCCAGGAGGAATCCAGTGACTGATAAATCTGCCGGCTGACATTCACATTTATGAATTTCCACCTGAAAACCTTGAACAAGCTATGCAGGAAAAGTGAAGCAGAGAGAAAAAGCTTGCTTCAAAACTGGAGCAGGACTGCAGCAGGACCATGAATTCAGTCTCGAAATGTGGCCAGAATCCTAAAATACTCCCCAGCAGGGTAACTTTACCTCCGTAAGCCCCTCTTTCCTTCTGCATAAGATGGTTATACAACTATCCTGTTAGGCGTGTTCTGAGCATTATACAGTCCACGTAATTCACGTGGTACATCGGGTCAGTGTCAGGGGAGGCACAGGTGTGTCAGTGAGCTTTGCTGATGAAGTCAAGTCCACTCTACGCTGACACCTCGTTCGTGTGGGGACCCAGTCTACAGGGCTGAGAATGTAGCACTTGCCTAGCATGTACAAGGCTTGGGTTCAATGGATTTGCAATAACCCAGTGCAAAAGATGAGAATCCATCAGGACTGTGGCTGGAGGCACAGTGAAGATTAAAGTCACAATGGCTAGTTTTATATACTTCCCTAAGGGGAAGAGGCTTGGGATTATTGGTATCACCCTTTTGAGATTTCCCATTATCTCCTTAGGGATGGGCTGTCCTGTCTCACCTGCTAAGACTGTAAGTCTAAGACTGCTAAAATTAAAGACAAGGCCAAGACTCTAGATTATCCACCAAGGCTAATGATGTCGCCCATGTGCCATTGCTACCACTGGATCAATATTACCTAAGCAACTATACTCACAATCTTATTGGTTGATCATAATTTTGACCCACGTTATTACCCGCATCATGATTTTGCTCTATAAAATTTCCCTTGAGAGGTGGGCTCCTTGGTAACCTATTTGGGATCCTTCCTGTCTCTCAGGAGCTATTCCTATTCCCCATTCTTATTCTCCAATAAATTTTTCTACTCCTAACCTTCACTTTTTTTTGTACCGGGAATCGAACTCAGGACCATTCACTTGCCAGGCAGGCACTGTGCCACTGAGCTACATCCCGGCTCCATTTTTTTCTTAGAATTCATTCTTTGACTTCGTGCAACGCGAACTCTGCATTTGACATCTAGCATTTCCTCTATATAAAAAATATAGGGATACAATAAATGTTCATGACCTTGTATTCAGCAATAATTCTTTTTTTTTGGGGGGGGGTACCTGGAATTGAACTCACAACCTTGCGCTTGCCAGGCAGGCGCTATGCTGCTGAGCTAAATCCCCAGCCGCTTCAGCAATAATTCTCAAATATGACAATAAACGTGTAACAACTAAAAAGAAGACAAATCAGATGTCATCCAAATTTAAAACACTTGTGCTTCCAAGAGCATGATCAGAAAGGTGAAAAGAAAACCCGCAGAATAAAAGTCTTTGCAAATCATGTATTCAGGATATATGCAGCCTAACAATAAAAAGAAAACTATGCCTATTTATTTACTTATTTTTGGTTTTTTGAGACAGGGTCTTACTATGCAGTTGAGGCTGGCCTCGAACTCACTATGTAGCACAGGCTGACCTTTAACTTGCAGTGATCCTCCTGCCTCAGCTTCCCAAGTGCTGAGATTATAGCACCTGGTGCCTATTTTTAAATAGGGAGAATATTTGAATAGAAATTTCTGCGGTGAAGATAAATAAAACTCTAAGCATATCAAAAGATGCTCAGTATTTCTAGCCACTCAGGGAAAGGCAAATATAAGCCACAGTGAGGTGCCACTTTATACATAACAACAATTGCTGAAAATGTAGAGAAACTGGAGCCCTTATAAACTGCCAGTAAGAATGTCCAGGAGTGCAGCTGCTGTGGGAAATACTTCAGCTTCTCAAATAAACATTTAGCTATAACTATAGGTATAGAAATATGGATAGATAGATAGATAGATAGATAGATGATAGATAGATAGAGATCATAGATATACAGCTAGGCTTTTTTTTTTTTTTTTTTTTTTGGTTTTTCTCCGGTACCGGGAACCGAACTCACAACCTTGCGCTTGCCAGGTAGGTGCTTTGCCGCTGAGCTAAACCCCCAGCCCCTACAGCTAGACATTATATAATTCCATTTCTATGAGACGTCCTGAACAGGTAAACCAACAAAGTATGGTTGTCAAGGCCTGCAGGGAGCATGCAAGGGGCCACGGAGAGTGATTGCTAATCAGTGTGGAGCTTCTTTTTGGCATGGTGAAAATGTACCGAAATTACTAGTGATGACTGCACAACTCTGCAAAATGCTAAACTCACTCAATTAAACATTCAAAAGGGATAAATTTTATGGTATATGAATGACTATGTTTCAGTACAACTCTTACTTAAAAACAAAAAGAAAGAAAAATAAACTAAGGCTTCTAGATGCCCCTAGTGACCCGCACAGGTCTCTGCTCAGCTGCCGAAGCAAGCCGCAGACAGGCTCCCCCAGCGCTCTGCTCTGCTCGGGTCCTCTCCCGCCTGCTTACCTCAGGGTGCTACCCTGGGTCTCACGTAACTCCCCACCCACCCAAGCCACAGAAGGGAGAAAAGCACGGCTACCGTGCACCGGGAACTGCGCATCAGGTATCGGTGGAACACCCGGCACCCCTCAGGTGGAGCTGTCAGAGCTGCCTCGGGGTGCTACAGGCACTGTCCCATGCGTGGAGCACCGCGCGCCCGCCTGTCTGTATTCAGGGCGTGTACAATTGGCCCCGCCTCTTCCTTTTGGGATCTCAGCGCTCGGCCTCCTGTCCTCCTGTGTCTCTGGAAGGGCTGCCAGATAAATATGGAGCACCCATTAAGTTTTAACTTCAGGTAAACAATGAATAATGTTTAGCAGAAGTATGTTCCAAATATTATTCATTGTTTATCTGAAATTTAAAATTTAACTGAGTACCCTGTGTTTTTATTTGTTAAGTCTGGCAACCCTACACACCGGCCTCCGTGTCATCCCTGAGACACACGAGCCAGCTCTTACCTCAAAATCTGTGCACTCACTCTTCCCTCTGGCCCTACCAGGGATGGCGAACCTTTCGGAGATGAGGGCCCAAACTCCATCCTGAAATCGACTTCTTTACCGCAAAGTGCCAACACTGCAATTAAACCTGAATTCTGAGGTTTTAGTTTAGAAAAAATAAGTCATATATTAACAACTTCGTGTTAAAAAGGAAAACACAATAACACGAGTGCCACAGGTTCGCCATCACTGCCGTAACAGTCGCACAGCTCCCTTCCTTAGTCAAGCAGCTTCTTAGCACAGCCTGTGTCCTCTCCACACTCTCAGAAAGGGCAGCTTCTACCTGCACTGGGATGCCCTGGGCTTCCCCAGCCGGGCATCTTCTGACACTCAGCGGCTCATTCGGCTGCTTTCCGATTGGTCGCTCAAGGCTCGGGGAGGCAGGGCTGCTTTAGGCCCTGCCCCATTCCCAGGGCTCGGAACAGGGCCTGGCACAGCGGAGGCGACAAGTTAATATTTACTGAAGGAGCACAGAAGTGCTGTGCATGGATTATCTCATCTAATCTTCAAACAGGCCTGGAAGCCAAACATCAACAGGGTTTCACAGATGAGGGCTCAGGGACACACAGAAGCCGAATACGCAGCCGGAGCACAATGCAGGTGGAGGAGCTGGAGCCTCCCCGCACCAGCCCAAGGTCACAGGCCAAGGGACCACGGGTTCGGCCCCTACTATTCAGGTTATCCTGGGCTGGGCGAAACAAGAAGCCACCAACACATGGAAGTGTCTTGTCAAGTCAGTCGCCTTAATCTAAGAATTCCACTACCCGATTTGCTGAGACAATTATTGTTCGACATAGAGTGTTCGAAATAACCACTTACGCTCCCGTGAGCGGAGGAGTGTGTGCGGGTGTCTATACTCACTTTTATTTCTTCCTGAACGTCAGGGTTCCGGAAGTTTAAGTCCGGTTGCTCTTTCATAAACTGGTGATAATAACATTGCCTTCTCACTTCATCAAAGTGCCAGCTGGAGTTTCCATACACGCTTAACTAGCAGACGGACAAACAGCACATCGGTTACTTAGCGGTCTTCTTATTGCAGTATCGTTGCTCACGAAGACACAATCATGGCCCTGCCTGGCCCTGGGCAGGCAGAGTGTGTAAAGCCTGAGTTTTGCCTCTAAGGACAAGAGCACGGAGCTAAATTAATGCCGAAAATGCTGTCTGTGTTGGCTTAACGCCCCAAATGTGGCTGCGATGGATTTGTCTAGTAGCTGCTGCTCAAGGAGCGGCATAGCACACAGATTCTCTCAAACTCAACAAGGCCATTTAAAGATCGGACACCGCTAGCCTATTTCTTGACTCCTCCCTGCAGGTTCTGGACTCTTGTTCATGAAGAAACATGGATGGTTGTCAATGTGGGAGAAAATGACATCCTATTGGTCTAGGAGATTCAGCCCAGATACACTGACTACTTAACGTGTACTTCCAAAAAGTGTTTATTAGAACCATTCACTTAAAAATTCTACTAGTCCTCAAGAATAAAAATCCAGCAAACTTCATGTGTTGGAAGCCAAAGATTATAGCTGATTGCTGAAAGAACTCCACAAAGCAACTTCACAGGGACAAAGAATCCAAAAGAGAATTTGGGAAAGAAACCATGAACAGGTGTTCACAGAAATAGAAACTAACGAAAATAAACGAAGGAAAAGATGTTCAACATCATTAGTAGTGAGATAATTACTATATTGGTAATTAGATAAATCATCACTATGAATTGGATAAATGAGACATTAAGACTTCAGCATAATACTATGTTCACATGAACAGCAAAAACTGCAAAGTCCGGCCAATACCAGGGATTAATAAGAATATGTACTTTCTTGGAAAAAGGTCTCACTAAATTGCCCAGGCTGGCCGCCAACTTGCAGCTCTCCTGCCTCAGCCTCCCAAGTAACAGGGCAATACATGTACCTTTTATACTGAGGGAGGAGATACAAATGGGTAGAGCTGCTTTGACGTTCTCTACTCTGTTGTAGAGTTGGGAATCAGCAACCTGCACAGCAGGTAGACTCCCAGATTTTTGAGACAGGGTCTCAAAAACATAGTCCCGGCTGGCCTCAAACTTGCAGCAATCCTCCCGCCTTCTGAGTGCTGGGCTTACAGGCGTTTGCTACCTGGCCTGGCTACTCCCAGTTACTTAATTTACAGAAGCCCTTGCAACAAGGCCTGAATGGGTTAACTAAGGGTTTATGACGTTGATATTAACATACAAACTGGAAATAGGCCAACTGCCGGCCAGCTGAAGAGGAAATGAGTAAAGCACGGAACACGTCCACAGTGCGATACTGTACAACAGCAAAAATGTACGAATCACAGCTACCCACAATTACACGAGTAAATCCTAAAGATGAGTTTTCTTCAAAAAGCTGGTTTTAGAAAAATACAAGAGTATGATACTTCTCTTAAAGTTCAAGATAGAGGAAACTAAACCAAACAAACAAACTTAGAAAACATATACCACGTGTGATGTAGGAAAAACAAAAGGCAAGAACCTTAAAAAACCCAAAATTCAAGGTCGTCGCTGCTTCTAAGAGCAAGCTCAGGAAAGGGACGGGAGGAGGGAACGGTTGCTGTGACAGTGCTGGCGGTGTTCAACTCCTTAGTCGGGTCTGCGTGTGTGGTGGTGTTTGGTGGTGGTGTGTGGTGCGTGTGTGGTGGTGTTGGGGTTTGCTGATACTATATTATTATCTTCCCCAGCTTGGATATCTATTATATATGCTTTTAAACAGCTTTCAAACTTTCCAGCTATAATTAAAGGCATTAACTATACTTTTTGTTTTTGTCTCTTTGAAACATAGTTTCACTATGCAGTTCAGGCTGGCCTTGAGCTCACTTTGTAGCCCAGGCTGGTCTCGATCTCACAGTGATCCTCTTGCCTCAGCCTTCCAAGTGCTGGGATTACAGGTGCGCACCACCATGCCCGGCTAAACTATACATATTGAAAGTGTCTGGTTTGATCAGTTTTGACATATATACACCCATGACACTATTACCACAATCAAGATAGTGAACACATCCTTCCTTGCTTCCTTTTTTAGAATCCCTTCCTCTCATCTCTGTATTTCCTCATCCCTAAATAACCAGTAATTGGCTTCCTGACACTGTGGATTGGCTTGCATTTTCTAGAATGTCATACAGAAAGGATCATTATAATGGGCAATTTTTTGGTCTGGCTTCTTTCGCTCTGTGTAGTTATTTTGTTGCCTATACCAATAATTCATTCCTTTCTATTACTATGCAGAATTCTACCTGATGGTTATACTGCAATGAGTTTGTCCATCTATCATACTTTACATGTATTTTCTCACACGCTAACCATTCAGCTAGAAAATGCAACCTTGCCTACAGTGGAGAGCTGATGGAAGGATGGGAAAAGTGATGTCAAGAGGCAGCTGTTGCCATCCCTTTGCCAACAGATGACATGGTTTGAGGTACAGATGACAATTTTTAAAAGTAGACCGTACAGTTAGACTGACAACATCCAGTCCTCAGTGCTTTCATTTACTAGCTCTGTGTGACCTCAGTCATCCTGTCTGCAAAATGGGAATTCAAACCTAATTCATCATCCTGAAGGGAGGGTTACATGAACTAATGGACATGAAGCGCTTAGCAGAGAGCCTGGCACATAGCAAGCGGTGAGTAAATGTTTGCTAATTTCATTGTCATTTTAACAAGTGGGTGGATTACAAGGGAAAAAATTAGACAGAGGAGTGTGCCAGGACCTGCTAATCCCCAGCAGACACAGTGGTGCCCTTCACTGAGTTTGGGGGCAGAGGGTTGCGGGTAGAAGGTCACACAGCCACCCTGAAATATGTCAGTTCTGCGCATCACCTAAAATATATTTTAAAATTTTCTCTACTTTGAACTTTATAATAATATCCACAAGCCTTCATGTTTCAATGTTTAAAAGGTCAGAAAGTGTGTACATACATATATATTTTTCCCCTTCCGTCTTTTCTCTGTTCCCCCACGCCAGTTGTTCTTTCCTCTTGAGCAGTTTCTTTTCCTTTCACAATATCTATTGCACCTTTTGTACCTTATTTCCTCTTTCAGGTTCTTACACTAATGAAGAGGAGGCCCTGGGTTCAAATCCCAATGCTGCCAAAAACAAAAATAAAATAAAAAAGAAGAGAAAAGGAGCTCCTGGAGTAGGGCAAGACGATCTGGAGTAAAAGGCTTGAAAGGAAGCAGACCAGGGCAGGAGGATCTGGCCGGGGACAGCAGGGTTGCCAGGTAGAATACAGCACGCTCAGACAATTCCAAATATGAGAAAACAGCGCATGACATTTCAGGACAGCCATGCCTTGGTATCCATGGGGACTGTTCCTGAACCGCTACCCCACCTTGGGTACCAAGATCTGCAGATGCTCAAATCTTTTGTAGAATAGCATAATGCTTGCATAGAACCTACCCATATCCTCCTGTATACTCTGTCATCTCTAGATTACTTGTGATGCCCACTACAATGTAAGTGCTATGTAAACAACTGTGACACTGTGTTGATTAGGGATTTGTGACCAGAAAGAATAGCCTGTACTAATTCAGTACAGATACAATGTCCCCCGCCCCAAATATTTTCTGTATGTAATTGATTAATTCTGTAGACACAGAACCTACGGGTATGGAGGGCTAGCTGTATGAACATAACCTACACAATATTTTATAATGAAAAAAATTTTTTTTCTCTTTTTGAGACAGGGTTTCACTCTGCGGTACAGGCTGGCCTTGAACTCGCAGCAAGCTTTCTGCCTCAGCCTCCCGAGTGCTGGGATTACAGGCGTGCGCCAGCACACTCAGCCTATAATGAAAAATTATGCACTCTTTATACAAAACCAGATTTACCTGGATAGGCTAAATTTTTATTCGTTAAATCTGGCCACCCCAGGCAGGGAGGAGGTGGGCTCCGCTGTAAAGAGGAGGTGGGGACGGGACGGGCAGGTTGGATGGCGCCTGTCCTCTCTGTGAAGCGTGGTTTGCTGTGAGCATGACAGGTAGGAAGGACGCAGGTACAGAGTTGAAGAAGGGAGGGCGTGTTGTCCAGCTGGATTTAATGAATTCCCTAAGAGGGTTTATGGTTCAGTTCAGGTGGGAACAACAAAAATAGGATGCGTCCAGAGGTGCAGATACCAAGCTTCAGACAAAGAGAAAGCACATGGTTGCATTCATGTATCGCTAGGGCTTTGCCCAAGGTGGGAGGCAAAAAGCCAGGAAGGCAAGGGGGTCTGGAGAGTAGCAAAAGTTATTGAATGAATGGGACACGGCATCCAAGCTGCACAGGGAGGGGCGTGAGGGAAACAAAGGCTAGGAGCAAGAACAGGATTTAACACCAGCTCCACGATGAAATCAGAAACCTCAATAATGACCTCAATAATCTTTTCTATTTCTTTTTTCTCTTCCCAGAAACTGTAGCTTTTCATGGTTTTCCTTAAGAGAGCTTCCTAAACAACCAGCTCTCGCGCTACAGACCTGCCCCGTTGCACGTCAGGCGGGCCGGGACTTACCCAGTTGTTGGGGGGGATGGTTATACCGTTTTCGTGAGCACAGTCGCGCCAGATGTAATAATCAGTGTATTTCCCGGTCCGTGTCCTACTCATTTCAAACCAAGGATGTTTATCACTGGTGTGGTTTGGTATGAAATCAATTATTAATTTTAAACCTAATGAGAGAAAACATTTCTAACGTTAGTAGAAGACTGCCGTAGAATAACACATGGCGGTGAAGGGGCACATGGTCTCGGTGAACGTGTGCTGAAGTACTTTTCTCACGTCTCACCCACTTCCGTCCACCTCCCAAGCAATTCACCTTTATCGTGTATGGCTGCAAGCAGATCCTCAAAGTCTTTCATTGTTCCAAAAATAGGGTCAATCTCTTGGAAATCTTCAACGCCATATCTGAAATCTTTAAGGGATGATTTATAAAATGAAGTAATCCAAATAGTTTTTATATTTAAAGCAGTGATGTAGTCCAGTTTATCCTGAATACCTGCAGAAAAAAACCAAGGGCATACATAAATCTTAGTTTATTTGTTTGTTTGCTTTTATTCAAAGGATTAAAAATAAAATGGCCGGGCATGGTAATGCATGGTTGGAATCTCAGCACTTCAGAGGCTGAGGCAGGAGGATCCCCATGAGTTAGAGTCAGTTTAGGCTATATAGTGAGTTCAAGGCCAGCCTGTAGTACAGGGTGAGACCCTGGCTCAAAAAATTAAATTAAATTAAAGTGGATATGCCAAAGATCAAAGTATTTATATTCAAGACAAAAATATTTGAAATTTTGTTGAGTTTGAGTAAAACATAAATAGTAAGGTCTAGCTCTAAGAAAAAAATCTAATTAGTCTTCCAGCAGTAACCTTTGACCTTCAACATAGATGCTTATAAGTAAAATCTATTACCTATTCTAATTCTACTTTTTTTTTTTGTACTGGGAATTGAACTCAGGACCTCACACTTGCCAGGTAGGCACTATGCTGCTGAGTTACATCCCCAGTCCTAACTTTACATTTTACACCAAGACTATATATAGTATTGTTGCTTTATTCTACACATGATATACAAATCAGTGCTGCGGGGCTGGGGATTTAGCTCAGCGGCACAGCGCCTGCCTGGCAAGCGCAATGTCATGAGTTCGATTTCTGGTACCGGAAGAAAAACAAAAACAAACAAACACAAATAGGTGCTGGGCTAGGGGCCAAGGAGAAACAAGGAATAACCCACTATCCCTGGTGGCCACACGCAGCTACTGAGCACATGTACTGTGACTGGTCCCAATTGAGGTGCGCTGATTCTATAAGTGTACACAGGCAGGAACTGGGATGACCACACCAGGAGGAGAGCTGGGGAAGGTGTTTCAAGGGGACCTTAAAGCTGCAGAGGTAGCTGATCAGGGAGGGGGCGGACAAGGGGTCACAGTGAGGGGCTTACAGGCAAAGGAAGGGAAACAAGGAACCGGGCAAGGATTTCACGGTTTGTCTGACAAAGGGCGAGTCCTGGGTTTTAGCATAATAAATACACTAGATGTCTTACGGTGTACGGGACTGGGGAAAGAGCAGAGTGCCGTGGAAAGTAAGGGGCACACGTATTTCAGGAATCTTTTATCCTATTCTCAGACTGTCTTAGAGCAGCTGACTCGGACCTTTTTCCTTGTTCACTTGTACAGGCAGCCAAGAACTGATAAAGAAGAGAGCTCTAGGTCTGGGAAGAGATTTGAAGTGGGACTCTGTACTTGGAGCCTTGTAAGATGATCAGCAGAGAGCGTGGTTTTGATTTCTAGCTCAGTGTCCAAAATGCACGTTCAGAGACTTGGGTCTAGGAGTCAGCCTCCAGCAACTCTCTGTGTGCTTTCAGTGTGGCTTCCTACCGCAAATCACAGAGCCCACAACCAGCTGAAGTCCCTGGTTTGGTGCACAAAGTCACTGCCGTCTGGAGTCTTCCCGAGGAAGGCTGCTTCCTTTTATTCACTTGTCTTTCTTTCTTTCTTTTTTCTTTTTTGTCTTTTTGAGGAAGGGTCTCGCTATGTAGTTCAGGCTGGCCTTGAGCGCACTTTGTAGCCCAGGCTGGTGTCGAACTTGCTACGATCCTCCTGCCTCAGCTTCCTGAGTGCTGGGATTACAGGAGTGCACCACTATGCCCGGTAGTTCACTTGTGTTCCAATCACAGAGCATCAAGAAGGGACAGAACGTTTTCAGTTAAACCAGAATAACATGTGACATATGTAAAAAACAAGCAGAGACAGGTGTGCATCTCGGTCGTAGAACATGTGCGCAGCATGTGTCAGGCCTGGAATTCCATCCTCAGCACTAAGCACACACACACACACACACACACACACACACACACACGAATCTGATGATGCAAGTAAAGAGGCTGGACACACACAAAGTAAACGAGGAATCCCAGCCTGACCCTCCAAGGGACGGAAGGTAATCACCAAAACTACACATCCCACCTGGAACGGTTTCTCTGTAACAACAGAGTCCCCTCAAGCCCAAGGGCCAGTGCATGTTGATTTAGGCAGGGACCACTCTCTCCAGGACAGGTCACCAGAAATGAAAAACAACGTAAGAGATGACCAGAGACAGCCACGTCTGAGGGAGTTTGGCTCTTATCTAGAAGGAGATTAGGAAGGCAGGGCCAGGACAGGCAGTTTATCTCTAGACTTAGGGATTTGGTTTGTATTTGGTCAAGACACCACTTTGGCTTAGCAGGAGTAAGAGGCAGCAGGTGCCGGGGTCATGTGACGAGGAAGGGAAGCTGCTCGGCTGCATCCCCAGGCTGTAGCAAAGGGTGCTACCAACACACTCCGAACACCCGGGAACCTGCGGGGGCTGTGCTCTGAGCAGGGAGCTTAAAGGATAGTGAAGGCAATGAGTCTGCGCCACACCTTAGAAGGCAGATACACTATTCTTCAGCAAAATCACAAGGAGATTTTCTTAAAAAGAGAAAATGGGGCTGGAGATGAAGCTGAGTGATTGAGGGCCTGGCCAGGCACAGGGTTTTATCCCCACTGTCACCAAAAATTAGAGAGAAGGAGAAAATGATATAGATGCACAAAAGAAAAGACTTTTGTTAGTTATTAAGGAAATCGGGAGATTTCAAGAGTTCATGCACACATTTTAAAGATGGATTAAACCCATTTCTGCACCTCACACTCTATCATATTATGTTGCTCTATTTTCTTCAAATAAGCACTGAGAACTTGCTTCTTAGTTTATGTATTTGCTTTTTATTGTTGCTCTTAACTAAGGCAAATATACCAACTAAATTGCCAAAGACAATTCCATTTTATGCCCCTTTTTTATGAGACAGGGTCTCGATATGCAGTTCAGGCTGGCCTTGAACTCATGGTGATCCTTCTGCCTCAGCCTCCTGAGTGCTGGGATTATGGGTGTACACAACCACACCCAGCATAATTTTACTCTTGAAAGTGGTCTGGTTAGAGCAATAAATTATAAGGATATTCTCTATGTAATTCTCCAGGATATTATTAGCTTAACTTAAAGAAAATAAATTTTCACTTCTATTTTTTTACTTAGGGGGCTGGGGATATAGCTCAGCAGCACAAGCACCTGCCTGGCAAGTGCAAGGACCTGAGTTTGATTCCTGGTAGTACCTCCCCCACCAAAAAAAAACCTCCCTCTCTACTTAGATGAATATTGTCTTAAATAATCCTTAATCCAAATAACAACCAACAAACCGCTATGCCCTTCCCTCTTCATTTCTCAGGATTGCTGAAGACCTATCAAAGACACTGCTTAATTCTTTGCAAATATTTATGCTTTACTTAAAAACTGTCAGCCAGACTGTCAAGCAAACCACTTCAAACACTGGTAAAGCAAGTCTCAGCTGTCACTCTGAGATTCCCAGCTGTAAAGTACATAGAAAGCAGGAGATAGATTTTCCGAGGAAACCTGTCCTGGGTAGAAGTGAGAACTGATGACCAAACAAGCATCTGTACTTAAATGATTCTTTCTTACTCGGAGGCCCCAGCAAAAAGGCCTTTCATCCAGTGAAATAATTGCTGGGTTCTGCTGAGTGATTTTGAAAGTGCCCCAAATGAAGAGACGCTTGAGAGACCAGTCACACAGGAACGCGCTTACCATGAAGCCCAGGCAGGTTGCAGGTTCGAGGAAGAGAAGGCCACACAGCAGCCTCTGCGCGGCCCCCTCCTGACCAGGTCAGGAGCACCCACCTTTCAGATCTCCATTGCCATCCTTGTCGCTGTCCTTGAAAGACCTTGGGTAGATCTGGTACATGGGCCCCGCCTGCCACCAGTCGAGGCACTTTGGAGAGACGGCGATGATGGCCACGGTGGCCGCAATGAGCAGCAGCACAGCCACGATGGTGAGCCAGAAGAGGATCTCCCGGGGCACGCGGTAGCGGGCCTGGCCTGAGAACTGGAACAGCACCTCCTTGGGCATCCCAGCGTAGGGCCGCACGCCCTGGGGGTCGGGCTCCGCTGGGCCTGTGATGCTCACAGCCTGGTGCTGCGGGCCATCCACGGAAATGCTGGGTTCTGGCTCCAGCTCTGGGATGTCTTCATTTTGGACAAACCCGTTGTTTGTCTGACCCCCCTTCATATCCATCCCGATGGAGTCTTTCTTGCCTCGGTCTTCAGCCATGGCTCCTTGCCGCAGTGACCCTCCTGAGCGGCTTCCTGTAGAGAGGAGGGTGGACAGGTGCTTTTGCTAAGTGCGCTGTCTTTAATGAGCTTTGCATGGTTTATAAATAAACCTGGCTGGACAAAGTCCAGCCAAGGAAGAAAGGGTAAAGGTGAAGAGGATTTTTTAAAATTTCTTTTCGCACGAGGAGGTGGCGGTGGCTACAGAAACACTGACTGCGGAGGGGAGCAGGAGAAAGGGCTGAGCCGCACGGCCAAGAGGAGATGCTACTGGGTTGAGTACACGTTGTTTTTAGCCACAGAAGTCAAACGGTGGAAAGTATACACATGTCCACACTGGCTAGATGGATAAACAGAAAGCGGAGTATACATGCTATGGAGTACGATACAGCCTTAAAAGGAAGGAGATTCTGCCTGGTGCCACAGCACGGGTGGAACTTGCGGACGTTAGGCTAAGTGCCGTAAGCCAAGCACAAGCACTATCTGGGTCCATTTAAACGAGGCACTCAGAGTACTCAAATTTATGGAGACTGAAACAGGGGCCGCTAGATGCGAAGGAGGGGGAAGTGGGCGCCATGTTTCGGTGGGTACAGAATTTCAGACTGGGATGAAGAAAAATCTCCGCTGATGGACAGTAGTGGTGGTTACGTAACAGTGTAAAGGGACTGGTGGCACTGAGCCCTATGCTTTAAAATGGTTAAAGTGATACATATTAAGTCTATTTTTACCAACATGTTTAAGACTTTAAACTTCTCTTTTTAGCTAAGTATAAGAAAAAGAAATGAATCTTTAATTTTTGTACTCTGGAGAGTGCAAAATTTTTTTGCAAGAGGAAGCAAGGCTTTTCCTTTTTTTGTTGCTGTTCTGTTCTTTGAGACAGGGTCTCACTACATAGTTTAGGTTGGTCTTGAACTTACTATGTAGCCCAGGCTGGCCTAGAACTTGCAATGATCCTTCTGCCTCAGCCTCCAAGTGCTGGGATTACAGGTGTGCCCCACCACATTCAGCTTGTTTTTTGTCTTGAAGGTCTCCTCTCTTCCTATAAAACCACACAGCCAGGGTCTGGAGGCTGAGAACCACACTTTGTTAACTGAAGTTAATTTTATTTTGTCTCAGCTCAGGCTGACCTAGATTCTGCCATGTGTATGCTCAGCCACTCTCCAACTGTGCTTAGACTTACCGAGAAAAGGCTGTGACTGCCCCTTATTAGAAGCACTTCCAGAAAGAGGCGGGGAGAGGAGTGTGTGTTCAGCCAATTCAAGAGCTTTACTAGAGGTAAACAGTCCTCCATACGAGCACCAAATAGTTGTTTAATCATTGACAAGCACGACATACATTCACAGGGCTGCGGAGACTGCGTTAAGGTTGGAACTGCTTTTCTAGGAGACTCTGTAACTTTAAAAAAAATGATGATTCAAGATATCCTTTAATCAGGGGCACTTGAGACAGCCCTGTGACTCATGCCATCAGATAAGGAGGAGTCTCCCTTTAAAGAAGAAAAGTTACCTGGGTCCCTACCACTGTCGTTGTCGTTGTCATTGTTGCTGTTGTTGTTGTTGTTTATGGAGACTTAGAAACACGGCCTGGTACAGAGGAATGAGCTATTTGATCTCAGCCAATTTATTTTTTAAAATGAATAACTCTCCATACCTGGCTCATTGAATGCATCCAATAAATGGAATTTCTCATCATTATTAATTATACATTTTGATCATTTTAAAAATCAAAGAAATTTAACTTTTATGTCATGATAATGCTTTATGTTTCAAACACGTAACGGTAATTTTCACAACTGACGTTAATTCTGGAAATTTAGCTACTATTTGGAGAAAAAGCCATGTGCAAAACTACCTACAGTTTAAAATAATCTTAAATTATAAAAATATTTTAATAATAGAACTTTGAATTCTAAATGTACAATGATAAAAATGCAGCAAAAACTCCTCCTCATAGCACTGCTTTCATAACAGAAAAATTCCTTTTCATCTTCTCTACATTTTATTTAAAATAACAGTAACAGTTTGCATTTCCAGAACATGCAAACTGGAAGTTTTTGAAAAACAGTTTGGAATAATCATCTGGTCTTTGGTAGAAGGGTATTGATTTAATAATAAAATAAATTTCAAGTAAGTTTTTTTTTGTTCTTTTTCTGTTTTGCTAGGGCTTTTTGTATTTACAATATCACAAAACATATTAATTGAAGAACATTGGGAAATTTAACTAAAGAACATTGGGAAATACATTTGCAGTAAATATGCCCAAGAATAGACACCAGTTTTTAGGAGCATTTTGTGAAACTGCTGAAAGGTGCAGTAAGTTTTAACTAAAAAGTCCAAGAAACTCATGCAAATTTTTTTAAATGAATCAGTTATTAACTCCAAGATAAATAAAAGTTACATCAAAAGTTAGTGTGCCTGTTAACCATGAGATGTCAATTTTTTAATTATTTTTTTTCTTTTTTTGTCTTTTTGAAATAGGGTCTCGCTATGTAATTCAGACTGACCTTGTGCTCACTTTGTAGCCCAGGCTGGTCTCAAACTCACAAGAATCCTCCTGCCTCAGCCTCCCAAGTTCTGGGATTATGGGCATGCACCACCATACCCAACTGAGATGTCAATTTAAATGGATTAGGAAATGCCTCCCAGATTAGTAAAACACACTTCTGGTGTCTGAGTGGGTCATGGAGTGTAACTTTGCATACTCTGTATAGTTCCTGGCCTGTTCTCTCTTCTCTGGCCTTGTTCTCCTGTTGCATGAAAGCTGCATGGCAGCTTTCTCCTGCCACACCCTTCCACCATGTTTCTGCCGCGGAGCAAGCCAACCACGAACTGAATCCTCGGTAACTGTGAACCAACGACGCCTCTCCAGCTTTAAACTGGGAGCGTCAGGTATCTGTTCCAGCTATAGGAAAGCTGACTAATGCAATTAGGCTGAATGATAAGAAACTGGCATGTTCACAGGTCAGAGTTGATGGATACTGACCGTGTCAAGTGATTCAACCCAACATTATTAGAGGATCTTACTTGGTTTACCAATGATCAGCAGTGAAAATTTTAATGAAAAATCAACTCATTCATTTAAACAAAAATTGTGCTACCACTATATGAGGAATAAAATGGAACAGAAAAGAATTAAAATCCTTCACAGCTGTGATATGAAGCTCAAACAGTGCATAATGTCTAAAAGGTTTGACTCAGGAGATAGCAGAAAATCAATCCAGGGAACTCAACTTAACATTGTTTTTTTAATTATTCTATTGCTATGTCTGTAACAGTAGCATATATTTATATGATAAAAATAGACTTAAAAATAAATATGTCAAAAAAGCTAGGCATAGTGGCACATGCCTATAATCCTAGGACTCTGGAAGGCTGAAGCAAGAGGATTGCAAGTTTGAGCCCAGCCTGGGCAACTTAATGATTTAGCAAGACCCTATCTTAGAAATTAAAAATTTAAAAAGGGATGAGCATGTAGCTCAGAGGGAGGACCCTTGGATATCACACACACACACACACACACACACACACAGAACCAAAGAATCTGTCTCTAACATTAAACATTCTGTTTAACATGAAACATAAAAATATGAACATCAATCAGAAATTTGGAAAAAATATAAACAAACATTTCACACAGACCAATTCACTAATATTTGAGAAATAAACATTTTCAATCACACTGGCAAAGAATTTTTAGAATTATCTGGGTGTGGTGCTGCACACCTGTACTCCCAGCGTTAGGGAGGCTGTGGCAGGAAAATCACAAGTTCAAGGCCAGCCTGGGCTAAAGTAGCGCTGATAAGAGTCCAACATATATTGACATACTCATTTGTGCATTTGATATCACGAGCTTTAACATCTTTCCAGGCAATAAAGTGAAAGTAGCTCTACTAGATTCTAAAACAAAAACTTCAGAAAAATAGAGTTCAGACTAAAGAAAAAGAGGTAAAAAATTAAACAGATTGCAATCATGAAAAATCAGCTTCCAATACAAGGAAGTATATAACAGAATTTAAAATACAGAAAGGCAACATTTCAAATCTGAGCAAGTAGCCAGGTACAGTGGCACATGCCTGTGATCCCAGCACTCAGAGGCTGAGGCAGGAGGACTGCCATGAGATTGAGGGCAGCCTGGGCTATAATAGTGAGACCTTATCTCAAAGAAAAAAAAAAAAAATCTGAGTGAAGATGATTTAGTAAATGATATTGGAAAACTAGCTAGCTATTTGAAAAGAAAAATAATAACGCTATGTAACTTACTTCATTCCTCAAACCAAAACTAAGTTCTGTGTAAATCAGATTTGTTTTGTTATATGTTTGGGGGTTTTTTTGGACAGGGTCTTGCTATGCATGTAGTTTAGGCTGGCCTTGAACTCAGTCTGTGGTCTAGCCTGGCCTCAAACTCAAAGCAATCTTCCTGCCTCAGGCTCCTGAGTGCTGAGATTACAGGCTTGCGTCACCATGCCCAGTTTGTGAATCAGATCTAAAAGTAAAAAAAAAAAAAAAAAAAAAAGCCACAAAAATCTGTCAAGCACATCCTGGGCAACTTAGTGACTTAGGGAGATCCTGTCTCAAAAAATAAAAAGGGCTGGGGATGTAACTCAGTGTGAAGGCCTTGGATTCAACCCCCAGTACCACAAAACAAAACACAACACAACACAACACAACATCAAAAAACTTGTTGAAGTGCTAGACAGAAGTCTGTGTATTAAAAAAAAACTTGGAGTTGAAAAACTTTCCTAAGTATAATACAAAGTACAAAACCTAGATTCTACAAAGGAAAGGATTGATACATTTAGCTCCAGAAATTAAAAATGAATAGACAAATCTATAGAGAAAAAAGGTAAATAACAAACTACTAGAGGAAAATACCTGTAATGCAGCTGACAAGGTAATTTTCATAATATAGAAATCTACTTTACAAATTAACATTGACAAGTAGAAAAAGGAACAAAGGGTATATACAGACCACTGACAAGAAGAAATATAGGTGGCTAATAAACATATAATGCAAATTCCACTCAAAATTAAATAAATACTTAAAAGATTATGGCATCTTTAAAATATATCATTTTGGCCTAAATGAGA